AGCAACATTCCATTTTTATTGCCATTATAAACAGGTGTAAGGAAAATTAATGTGAGATGTATTTTATTAATATAGTTTAAATTTTATATGGAAGTTAAATCACTGGCTTGAATTAAGACATTTTGGGTGAAGCAAACACATGCTGTTTTATGCTTTGCAAAATCTCATTGCTGTGAGTTTTTAAAAAGTGGAAATTATAAACACTTCCTAAATCTTTTTACATATATGAAGAATCAAAACAAAGGAGCTAACTGATTCTGACTTGGGTTGTTCTTAGATCTTTGATGCTCACTAATCAGAGGCCTGAGGATACCACACCACTGGGGCACCCTTCAGAAGTCTTTTGAAGCCCTAAGAGCTTTTTAAACCAATTGTACTGTACAGTTTAACATGTGTGCAGAGCAGTGCACAAAGCAGAGTGAGATTAGCTCCTGGGAGCCGTCCCCCGTGTGCACCACCCCACTGGAGAGAAAGAGTGCAGAGCATCTCCACCAACTGCAGCTCCCTCCCCAGAAAAGGAGCCTTTTATACTCAAAACGACCATTTCTCTGTAGTTTTACTACCTCAGCATGCCTCTGTGGTTTACTTTCATTATTTTGGATTCTTTATGTCAACGAGATCACATGGTGTATTCAGAAATTAATTTATTTTCAGTATTTAGAGTATGTAATATTAAGGCGAGGAATTTCCAGGAAAGCCAGCCAAACGTAATTTTAAAGTGTGTCATTTTCCTAGTCTTCTTCTCGATAGGAAAGGCTTACAGTTTCTTCATCTAAACCCTTTTCCCCTGAAGATACAGCACCACTTGCCACTGGTAGCTGAGTACAAGTCTGAAATACAAGGCCATTTTGTGATTCAACTGAGAGAAGATGACGCTTCTATTAGTATTGGTTTGGTGGATTTCCAAATGAGAACATGTTTTGTTGTGCTGTAGCCTTGTATTTATACTCTTAAATTTTATTTCCTTTTCAAAATTTAAATTTCCCTAGCCACAGCCTGGATATTAACAACAGCAACAATACCAAAACCCTTGTGTTCCATAGAAGAGTTTAATTAATGTTAGTAAATGCCCAAATAACAATTCTAGAAAGTATTCAATTCATAGCAAGATAAATTATGGTTGTTATGTTTTACTTAAGAAAGTCTGAATGAAAGGAAAGGGCGCTCATCTTTCTACTAGAAAGAATCGAATTACTTCTAATGTTTGGCAATGGGGCAAGTGCTAAAGGGTGAGTCACCAAAGAGGCCGGATAAACTCACAGGCTGGAGGGAGACTTTCAGCAGATCTGACATTTGGGCTGGATTTCATGGATTCCTTGGAGTTCTGGAAGTGGAGTTTGGGGCAATAATTACCATAGAGTGGAAAGCATCTGGAAATGCCCAGAGGAATGGAAGTCAAAATCATCCTGGGGTCTAAATTTGGGAGCCCAGGGAGATATAGAGTCTACGCCAGTGATTCTGAACCCTAGCTGTACCTTAATCCATCTGGGAGCATAGGAAAAATTCCGATACGCAGACCCCGCCCAGGGCGAGGTAATCAGAACCTCTAGGGAAAGGCAGGTCCAGGCCTGGGTGTGTTTAGAGAGCTTCCCAGGTGACTCTACGTGCTGCCAAGGTTGAGATGCACCGCTGTGTGCATCCTGCCCCAGAAGGCCAGAGCCACTCTTACTTTCTTGATTTCCCAACACCTGACCCTGCCTAGTGAATGTGTCACCTTCATCTCAGGCATCGTGTCATGTAGGCCCTGGCTTGCATCTTACCTCTCTCCCTCCCCATTTCTGATCAGTCAGCTATTAACTCTCTGGGATTGAACTACTTGTAAGTGCGAGGTTGAGCCAGGCTGCCTGACTTGAAACCAAGTTGTAGACTTACTGGGGGAAGGTAGTGGGTGGCAGTAGGAGTCTTGTGTAGAAATTTAAGAACATCAGTTCGGGCAGGAGTGGCGAACCTATGGCATGTGTGCCACAGCGAACTGTTTATATCATTGAAAGCTCTAAAAGGTTTGCCATCACTGGTAAGGATTGGGTACTCAGAGGATTAATGAGTAAATATGTGTACAGCATTTATATAAATATATACAAATTAAATGTATGTAAAGTTTGTATGTACTTATATACATGTAAGTATATGTACAGTGAGTGACTATATATAAAGGAGCAAATATGTGTATAGTACTTGACACACAGCAAGCACTCACCACAAGCTGCTGGTAACTGTTTTTATCACTGTTCCCACCATTCTTCTCAAATCTTTTCCTTCCTCCATTTAACCATCGCCAACCTGTGGTTTTCATGCTCTGTTCCATGGAGGAAGGGAGAGATTTCAGAATGATGCCAATAGCTTCCCAGATATTTCCTCCTCTAACCCTGAGGTAGGGTAGGAGAGATCCTGGGTGCCCCTGGAGGTGGAGGTTGGAGTCTAGGATTCTGAGGTAGGTGAGATATCCTCCCTGAGGTCCTGAGGGGAAGGAGTCTGAGAAGGGCTGTGGAGAGTGGGCCTGTGTTGGTAGCCATTACTGAGTCACATGGAGGAGCAGGAAAGCAAGTGGAGGCCACAGGAGGGTCAGGGCAGACATGGCAGGGGGCGAGGGGCAGGAGGCAGCCTGGGGTCTGGGTGTCAGCAGGTCTTTGGGGAACTCAAAGAAAGAATCTGGAGCTAATATTGGAAAGAGCCGCCTGACTGCAGTGGGCCAGAGCACTGACTTAGGCATGAAGCATGAGACCTGGAGAGGCCACCCTCAGCAGCCATTCTTTCAGGAAGCAGTTGAACAATGTGTCCAGTGCCTCAGGGAAACGGCATTCTCACTCCGGCATTCTGCACTGCTGCATCATTGAACCTGGGCACCTGGCCCTTGTAGATGTGAGAGGCAGTGGGCGGGTGGGGAGGAGCAGAGCCAGGTCAGACTGGTTGGGACTTGGGCGATACATGAATGAAATCACTGTTGCAGCCAGAGCTGAGACTTGAGGTCATATTCAAACCATCAGTGTCTATGTCATCCTTTTCCAAAGAAGAAAAAGTCTCCTTTGATGTGAAATACTCTAGTTTTGGACTTAATGAGAAATGTGTAAGAGAAGAAATGAGTTAAATTGTTATCTATTTTATAATTTGGGGCATTTTTCAAAAAAATAGTTGTTCCTTTTTATTCATGGAATGCCGTACCCCACCCATTATATGTATTCATTTAGGAGAGGGCTGCAGTTCTGAGGGTGGAGTCTGATAAATCAGATCTGCATCCATTTCCTTGACTATAGAAATGTAATTAAGCATGGGAACCTTTATTTGTGTTTTGAAGTAGTGCACGCATCACTTACTAATCATTGCTTGAGGACATGCTAATTACCAGCATGGTGTTGGAGAGTACTGAAGTACCCACGTGGGAAATAAATAATTCCTAGCTGGCAGGCAAGGTGGCAAAGCAGGCTGGGCCAAAGACAGGCAGAACTCCTGTTAGGAACTCAGGATTTTTGGATCTGGAGTCATGTGAGACCCAGATCCCGAAGACTTAAATCTTTATCTGTCATTTCATTTTGAACACTGCTTTTTGGATACTGCCCTGATGGCCTAAGAGATCAGACAGTATATGTGGTCAGGGCTGGAACACTGCCAGGGAGGACCATCTGCACCTTTTGGGCACTGGTGATGGCACTTGTAGATTATGTTGAGGAAAACACATAGGGTCACCCTCTCTTGGTAGCTCAGACTTTTCAGATAGAAAGTCAAGCACTGGACACATTAGCTGCCGCCCTGTAAAAGGTGTGTTGACTGCTTTAGAAATGTTGAATTTTAAAGAATTCACAGCTACACCCATAGAAAAATCAAGAGTTAATAAAAGTAGCCAACGCTCATTTGTGCTTGCTGAGTGCCAGGCACAGAGCTACCTATCGTTTATTTTCATAACTACATGGGGATGATCTTCTAATTTCATTTAACAGATGAAGTAAGCAATACACAGAGACTTCTATAACCTGATTAGAGGGCCCACGCTCATCCAACTAGTGGCCTGTGCATGTACTTGGAAAATGTGTTGCTGTCCTGTTCATAATACATTGTAATATGATAGACCTCGAGTGTACCCACAAATCATCATTGAGAACTTCCCAGCCCCAAGAATATAGTCCTCCTGACAGTCCTCCTGGGGAGTAAGGCAGGAAACTAGCATGCCAGTAGAATCTGTTTCCCGGGTCATAATGAAGTGGGCACAAGTGTTTGTATCAGGAAAATGCTGGTTTAGTTGGGGAGGCCAAGAGAGCCTTTAAAATGCAGTATGACAGTAAGGGTGTCAGGGCGGGAACAACATGAATATAAGTGACACGAGGCAGTAAGTGCAAAGGACCTGGTTCAGGAGTGTCCTCATCATGTGGAGTGCCAGGAGGGGAGGCTGGCAAGGGATGGAGTGATGGGGACCCACATCACAGACAGCCTTGAGCATATCCAAAGAGACTGTTAGCTAGGCTGGAGGCTCTTGAAATACAGTTCCAGCTTGAATCATCTAAATCCAAACACGAATTCCTCTCTTACCTCCAAGCCAATTTTTCTTTATCTGGATAAACAGCCAGGAAGGAAAGCTGAGGCCAGCCAACAGTGTCCTTAGGATCCAAGCTTCCAGTGGCATTCTGGACTTCTGGTCACCCAGTATGATTCCTGAATGCAGCCATAGGTGTCTATGTGGGGTGCTCACCAGATAATAAGTGACTCTAATGAAGAGATTGCTCCCAGTCAATGTCTTCAAACTCTCACTGTCTCCACAGATGGGGAACGAAGAGAGGCTCCGCTGTGGAGACAGGAGTTCTTGCTTCAATTCAGAGTTAGAGCAGGCAGTGTGCTGCTCTCTTGTTCTTTCTCATTTCCTCTGTTCTCCTCCAGGCCTATAGTGGGAGGAGGATGTGAGAATTAGGTTGAAAGATGCTGGGAGCCATTCCTGCCCTGGAAAAAGACCCTAGAGAGACTTCCCTGCCTGATTGGGGGATGTTGAAACATTCCAACTTCTTTTCATGCCTTAGGCCTGTGCTGAAGTTCACCAATATGGTGTCGAGTCACTGAACTGACCCCCTGAGCTGTTCAGATGTCTATTTAAAGTTACAGACCGTGGAGCGGCGGCGGTGGCCGGTAAGGTTGTCAGTAATTTATCCAGGGATGGGTTTGCGCCAGTGCATGTGTGTAAACACGTTTTGCAGCTGAAGGGTGAGAGGGTTAGGCCTCAGCATAGATTATTTAAATTCATGTATGAAATTTAAATTTTCTTTTTTTGTCTTTTTGAGACAGGGTCTCGCTATGCAGTTCAGGCTGGCCTTGAGCTCACTTTGTAGCCCAGGCTGGCCTCGAACTCCCAACGATCCTCCTGCCTCAGCCTCCCGAGGGCTAGGATTACAGGCCTGCACCACCACACCTGGCTGAACTTAAATTTTCTAAAATATTCTTTTAAATACTAGTACTGCTGAGGGGCATGTACATTTTGAATTATAATCTGGATATATTATATGTTTTATTTTAAAAACTATATTGTAAAATGATAATCACATTCATGTAAGTAATTTTTTTCTTTATTAGGATTTAATAAAATCCATTAGTATAAACTTAGGGCTCCTGAAAATGTAAGTATCTTGATTATAGCATATGATTCTCTAATTTATTTTAAGAAAATAACGTTTATGTATATTGTACTTATTTATTGTATAAGTACTTTTTTCTCAGAGACACAATTAAACAAGTGACTCCCAGGATGCTTCCCCAGTGACCAGTTTTGCAAATAATTGTGAATATAAAAAATATAGTACTAACAGTAATTTTATTTGACACCTACAAATGACCCCAAGCAGTTCAGAGCAGCATAACTCATGTTCATATACCGTATGTAACCATCTGGATTATTTTCTTTGACAATGATGCTCCTTTGGAATGCTATGGAGCTCCCACGTGTTTCTAAATGAAATGAAAACCAAACACTTTTAAGAAGTCTTTTCTTGGTCCTGAACAGGCATTCTCAACTAGCCACTGCAAACTGAACATGGACGCAGAGGGGGCTCACTCTTCTGTGGAAACTGGTTGATATTTGAGGTGAATAGAAAAGCTGACATCGCGTATCATTTGGGAGAAGAGCCTGGGGAAGGCAGGATGCCCTCCCTGGCTCAGGCTTTATTTTTACACCCTTCTTCTTGGAGGGATTTTTTTCAAAAGATTTCCAGTAAAGATTTTTTTTTTTTTTTTTTTTGAGCTTTGCCTTCCGGAAGCCTAAAATCCAAGTTCAACTTTACAGCATGTTTACCAAGGAAGCCTGAGGGAAAGATTGCATTTACCTGTTTGTGACATTCAAACACTACATATAAAAGGTCAGAAGGATATTTGTGGAAATGAGGGTGAAAACATCTAAAGTGCTGGCAAAAACAGACTCTGAGGAGATTGGGTCTGTGTACAGTGCAATAGCAGGTGTTCTTTTCACACAGCAGGCACAGCCTTAGTCCGCTCATGTGACATGAGTGCTCAGTTCATTTTCTCAGATCCTTTACAAGAAAGGTGTTGATGCTGAATAGGGGGCCTGGGTTACCTTTGGCTGTAGTGTTTGACTAGGAGGATGTTTGGAGAACCAGAAGCCTGACGTGCAGATAAAAGTTGCCTTGGCCTGGGGGCGTGTCTCCTTGGAGCTGTGGGAAAGGGATTCCCTTGCTGTCCTACGGAAGACAGAAGGTAGAGAGTGGGCCTGGATTCTTACAGCTCTTATACTTGCTGCAGCTAAATTTAAAAACCATATCCTATTTTCACTTGTAGGTTTCCATTCTGTAAAACCCATCTAAGAAATTCATGGCAATTAAGAAGGCTTTTATTTTCCAGAAGTTATTGCAGAATAGGAAGAAATATAGATTGATGAATATAGCAGAAGCTGAACTTACCCCAAAGGAATACATTTCTTAAAACCAATTTGTAAAAAAAAAGCCAAAAAAAAAAAAACCAAAAACACCCCAATTTGTATATGCAGCAGGAGGTATATTTCTTAATTATGGTATTTTGAGATTTTAAAAAATGTACTTTTATTTTCCTACATCGAAGAAAGCATTCCAAAAGTGTTGTTGAATTTCAGAATTAATCTGCAGTCATTTCAAAAGTAGACTATCCAGGCTATCTTGTTTTTTAAAAAGCTTTTTAAGTTTTCTTGAATTTTTATTCAATTTCCCAAGAGAATTAGTATCAAAGGAATAAAAAGACTTAGTTTAATCATAAGTCACAATGATCATTCATGGTTAATGGGGAAAAATTACTAACTGGAGATACTGAGATTTTCTTACTGGAATGCAGCTGAGAAACAGTTTATGGGAAGAAATTATCATTAAATTTACTGTTACTTACTGTTCATGCCATGATATTAGTAAGCAATTTTATTTTCTTGTAAATGTCTTAAGTTATTTTAAAAATATTTTCACTATGTGCTCATGGGTGTGTATAATGGCTTAACTAGCCTGCAAGTATGCATGGAAATTCCTTTTGTACAGCTCTTTTTGTTTTGTTTCTTTATTTTCTAGCTTGTGAAAGATTGAAAACATTTTTCAATTCCATTAGATTACAGTGTAAGTCTGGAGAAAGCTAAGGCGATGGTCCATGCAGCATGATTTTATTACAGAGGCCAAGTCCCAAAGCGGCCATCAGGTTGTTCTTAGTCTTCCTTAACTCCAATATAGACTCCTTTATGGTGTCCAAGAGTCTGTTTCTACCCAGTGTCACTTGAGCCTCACAAAAGTGCAGCTGAAGAAATGAACACAGGAAGTGGGTAGACGTCTGCCCAAGTTGCTCATTGCATCAGTAGTAGAGCCTGGCTAAGAGCTGTCTGCCTTTCACTCCTAATGTTACCTTTTGCCCATGGAACAGGAAGTGGTTAGATCTTATAGGCTAAATCACAGTTTGTGCAAGCTGTTCAGGCCCTGGCAGGTAAATCCAATTTGAATTTTTGTCTGAGAAGTGCCATTCACCTTGAAGGGTTTTGTGCATAAAAGAATTACCTGGGAAGCTTGAAAAAGATAAGGTCTCAGGCCCCACAAGAAATACTGGCTTACTGCCCTGGGAATGGGGTGGGTTTGAGGTTGTGTAAAGCTTCCACTGAAGCCAGGTGTGGTGGTGCATGTTTGGAATCCCAGTAGCCTGGGAGGCTGAGGCAGAAGGATCACAAATTCAAGTCTAGCCTGGGCAACTTAGCAATTTAGTGAGACCCTGTCTAAAAACAAAAAGTAAAATGTGCTGCAGGTATAGCTCAGTGCAGAGGTCCTGGGTTCAATCTCTAGGACTGAAAAAAAAAATGACACAAACCTTCCCCTATGATGCTCATGAGCTGCCAAAATGAAGAGCTTCACTGGAGGGGTACTAGTTCATAGAGAGTGCAGAAATTTACCTAAGAGGGGCCTCTGAAAAGGATAGACCCCAGCATTCCTTTTTTTAAAAGATACTAATGGCAGGAGGTTTTTAATATTCTAGTCTGTCACTAACTTGTGCTCTCTCTTAACCAAGTTCTTACTTATAAAGTAGGATAACAACCCAGGTTATTGCATGGGTCATACAAAGTACTATTTTTGGAGTCTCTGAAGTTTGTAACCTCCGTGTAACTATGAAGTGTGCTTATGTCTTGTATACTATCAATATTCTATCCAATAAATGTTGACCAAAAGTGCCTATTACAAGTTATCATGGGTTGAGAGCCCAAAATTGAAAAAGGAGCAAGTCTCATTCTTCTTCCTCAAAAGGCTCTAGGGTAGTGGAAGCACTAACGTATGAGCATAACTAACTACTTTTCACATACTGTGTATTATCACACTGATGGGTACAAAGTGCAGTGGGTTTCCCAGAAAACTTTACCTGTGTGCTAACACATCACACACATGGGAGACTCTTGCTCTGGGCCTGAAGGGAAGAGAAGAGTTCCTGAAAGAGAGAAGATAGTGCTAGAGAGAGGTGATGGGAATAAGCCCTTGGGTTCAAGGCCTGGCGTAGTCCCAAGAAAATGGAACACTGGAGGCCTTTGTGGAGGTAGATGGGGATCACTGAAAATATTCTCTTTGCATTATAGACGCTGGTGATCTTTAAGTATTGTGAAGATCCTTTAATGTTTGCTAGTGGCTTAGGATGGGGAGTCAGAGCAGCTTGATGAAGGCCATCACATGATGACCATGCCCGGTGAAATGAGGAGAGTTGTCCACATATTTCCTCTGGATTAGCTAGCTCTCCTAGAGCAGAGCAGAAGAGAAGGCAGGCAAGAAGCCATTGCACAAGGGGTACATTGATTGCACAGACTTTGGACTCAGGGGTGTGCTCTCAAATTCCAGTTCCACCACTTCCAGATGAGGTCTTGGGGATACTGATGAGCTTCTGTAACAATCTTTATTCATGAAATGATGATGAAAGCTCTGATGTGGCATTTAGTGAGAGAAGGCAGCTAAACTTCCTAGCATGCATCTGTTAATATTGGATCAATTCCAGGTTGGAGAATGCTCTCAGCAGAAGATGGCGAAGACTTGGAAAGCACTTTCAATAGGGTGATTCCTAGAGCTCAGTTTTGGAATATGAAACACTGAAACAAAGAGATGGTTGAAAAATTAGGCTTTAGAATAATATGGCTAAGGCTATCACAGGAAGGCTTGGTAAGCTTCTGGGAGCCCAAGACCCCTGACTCCACCCACCACTGCCATTGCAGGAAGGTGCCCTGGACTTGGGAAGCCTTGGTGAGCTGTTAGGGAGCCTAGACCTCTTGCTCTGCCCCCTGCCACCACTGTGGGAAAGACCCTGGGTTCTAGGAAGCCTCAGTTTGCTTTCAGGGAGCTTAAAAACCCACACTCCACCTCCTGCTGACATCGCAGGGATGAACCTGAATTCCTGGAATGACAAAAAGAAGGAGCAAAATGCAATCTCACCCACCATTCCACCCAGAACAAGTCCAGGAAACATCAACATAGAAGAACATGGAAGTCACACCCCTAAAATTGCTGAAATGATTACAACTGAAATAAAGAACTAACTGCATCAGTCTATAGAGAAAATCAGATCGAAAGTAATCACTCAGGTAAAAAAAAAGAAATGACTAACATAATGAAAGAATTGCTCAGCATATTTAAAGAAGACCCAGAAAAGAAAAA